CCCCCCCCTTCCCCCAACCCCCCGCCAGATGGGGGAGGTGCGACCATATATGCTGGTTTGTGGTTTATGTCACAGTTTTAACAGTGTTTCTCGACCCGAGGGTATGACTAGTTTGCAAACACATAATGGCTAAGTTACAAAACCTAGTAATTGGTAAGCAGGCTATGTACTTTGCACTGGATGCACCCTGTAAAAAATATATTTTGGCTTCGGAGAGAGCCAAGCTCTATAAGTGTCTATTGTGTACGTGTTAGTATCATTTGTGTTGTAATTGACAGTTTTCACAGTTTTTGTTGTTGTATTATTGTTATGTTGTTTTGTTTGTGGCGGCATAGTGGTGTATTGGTTAGGGCGTCCGCCTCACAGTGCTGAGGTGCAGGGTTTGATTCTGAGTGGAGTTTGCATGTTGTGCCCGTGCCTGCGTGGGTTTTCCCATGTACTACAGTTTCCTCCCATATTCTAAAAACATGCAAGGCAGGTTGATGGAACACTCCAAACTGTCCTGAGGTGTGGTTGTCACCGCAAATGTTTGTTTGCCTCTGTGTGCCCTGGGATTGGCTGGCAACCAGTTTCAGGGTGTCCCCCGCCTACTGCCCGAAGACAGCTGGGATAGGCTCCAGCTCACCCGCAACTCTTGTGAGGGTAAGCGGATTACAAAAAAGTGTAGAGTGGGCGGGGTTTGTTTTGTATCTGGTGTTGTGTTACAGCTGCAGCTGTTGTGAAATGCACTTTATTAATAAAGTTGTGTTGTATTGTGTTTCAAAATGGTAATACTGCATCCACCTCAAACATATTATTACTTAATTGTATGTCTTATTCAGTTGCTTGAAAATGTTCGTCTTGCGTCTCAGTCAAATTTCTCACTAACGTCACCCATCACGAGCTACGCTAACTAATTGGGGCGCCGTGTCAATTAGAACTGAGGCGACTATTCGATGAGAAGCATTTTCTCATTTCATTTCTGATCCTTTCCCAAATCATTGTGTGAGGTAATGATTATGTGTTCATTTGTGTGTTGTCTTCTTGTCAGAAACATGATTGGGAGGTGGCAGTCAAATGTATCAATAAGAAGAACCTGGCCAAATCCCAGACACTGCTGGGAAAGGAGATCAAAATACTCAAGGTAACTATTATAACGATCATTATGCATTATATCCAAAGCATTTCCATATGAGGCAAAAATACTAATGTTTTAGACTCAATAACGTGTCCTTGGGTAATTTGCTGCCCAATTATTCATTTTTTTTCTATTCATGTGCTAGCGTTGAGGTCTTTCTTCAGAATAGAGAGGATGTAGTGAAGATGAAATTTAAAGTTGGCTGCAGAAGTCAAATTTAGCACGTATTTTTGAAAGTAAAGATGAACTCAAAAAATTAAATGCTCTCGTTTGCAGGAACTCAAGCACGAAAACATAGTTGCATTACTGGACTTTCAGGTATGAAATAATATGCTTGCATGCTGTTTGCACACCTAATTATGTCGCCGCACGCTGTCCCAATTTGCTCTCAGTCTGTGCTCACCAGATTGAGCAGAAGGACGGTTGGCCACATGACCCATTTTGATCTCATGCTACATGACCATTTTGGTTTTCTCAATTTTTTTTTTTCAATGAGACTTTGCAGCAAAACACCGCCTTTTGTTTTGAAACGTTTCACTTCCGGATTTTTGCCCCGCTGAACTCAGACGTTGTTTATCTTGTGTCGACCTTCAGGGTTTGCTCCTTCAGTACTTTGGTGGCTCACTTCGCCATGACGCATTTTTTGTTTTGCAACTTTTTGCGATTCTAAATGTGCTGCTTGGTGTCAATGTGTATGTGTGTCTATTTAAAATTAGCAGCATTAAGGTCTTAGGCCTGCAGAGAGGTAGTGCTTAGGACTCAATAGTCGCGGGTGCTTGCAGCCTAGCAACGCGCATTGGCATTCACTGTGGCCTGGACACACACACACACACACACACACACACACACACACACACACACACACACACACACACACACACACACACTTGACACAACGTCGAGACAACCTGACATGCTCTACTCATCTCGCCTTATGCAGGGAGTTGACCTTTTGGAACACAACGGGCAGGTTATCAACGTTGATCCCCCCCCCCAAGACAAAATTGTCACTGAATCTTATTGTCAGAGATTTTCTCGGACAAAGTTAAAGAAATGACTCGGCACACAGGAAAATTGTCTTCAATATCGGCGGGAGGGGGATCTAAGCGAGGTATTAAGCTACAAAGAAATGAATCAACTCTTACCGTACGCCAATAGGGTGGAGAGCCAACACCCTTGGTAGAGCGAGCTTCAATACCAGCTGGGCGTCCCGTCAGTACGCAACCCGCAGCAGACTCTAGCAAGGGGATGGCAAAGTCTCCTCTTATCCTTCTCTGAGCGTGTGCGAAAGAAGGGGTGAGTGGCCAACTCAGCCCTTCTGGCGCCACACTTGTTTCGTTATCAACTGGCGTTTCACAAACTATTATGCTGAACAACTCTTTCTCACGCAATTCTGTTATGTTGTCATGAGACCGGTCCTGGGAAACAGGAGCCATCTGGCCCTACCTATGAGAAATGAAGTCCGATGGCTCCTGAGAAACGGGAACTCGTTGACAACAACACGTTATACAGCATCTGCCTCGGCGTGTCATCGAATCAACATGTTATAAAACGGAGTATTTTGTGAGGAAAACAGCACATTTTGATCATTATCATATCAACACTTTTGAACCTTGTAGCGGGTGCAAGTTTAGCAGGAATGTGGATGCTGTCACACAGCATTACAGTGCGTCCGCCTACTTTGAAACGTACAAAGGTGCTCCTGTGTGCACCGCGACTGTTTACAGATTAGGCTCTGAAGAGATTGTAATGTATTTTGCTTGTCTGACATGTTCCAATGCTAGTAGCAGCAGGAGATATATTGCATTGGTGTTTCGTGACCTTTTTTTGACCGGTACTCATCATGCAAATGAGGCATCAGGAAGGTCATGACCACTGACACGTTGATTTTTTATTTATTTTTTTTCCCAAACTTTCCGGAAGATGAATCATTATTCTTCGGTTGGATTTTACACAACACGCTAAAAGTGACACCATTTTGTTTTCTCACAGTTTCAGGATGCGTCATGGCCGCGCTGAGATAAAAATAAACCGCACAAAACTGGATTTTCTAAACTTGGAGTTGAATCTCTTTCAAAGATAATTAAAAATCAGATATGAAATGGGTTTCTGAGAATGTGACTCCAACCTAAACTGTGTGTGTGTGTGTGTGTGTGTGTGTGTGTGTGTGTGTGTGTGTGTGTGTGGTGGGAGGACGATATACTATCTATCTATCTATCTATCAGTCAATATCCACAGAATAAACTCTAAATTTTGGGTTCACCTGTGCTGTCATTTAAAAAAAAAGAAAAAAAAACCAACCTCTGGAGCGTGACACTTCCAGACCAAGTCATCTGTTGCCATGTGATAAGAGTTTGTTTTTACCAAGACGCAATGTTGTCTCGATGAGGGCGACACTCATTTCTTCTACCAGTAGCTATAAAAAGCCGACACACCCTCGTTCCAATGTCCGCTTTTTATTTTTTGTGATTTAAAGAAGAGACCGAGATAAACCATGTCAAAACTTTTCCCACCTTGAATGTGCCCTACAACCTCTACAACACTATGGGAAAGAATAAGAAATGGCGTTAGCAGATGGGAGAGATGTCAAGTGTGGTTTAGCCAAATTTAGCTAGGCTTGAATTTTTTTTCTTTGTCAGACAAATGAATTAGATGTGAGATTGTTGTCACGTGTACTGAACAGAAATTCTCCGTGACAGACACCCTGAGCAGTCCCCCCCCCCCCCTTTTGTCAATTTTCACGGAACTTCCAGTTCTCGGTAGTGGTCAAAGTTTTGCTATACTTTATTTTTGCTCCACGATATGCTGTCTGTCGTCACTGTGTGAACATGGAGGTTCTTTGTTTGGCACTGTTGGTATAATGATGATTACTGGATACTATTCGCTCCTCTCCCAGTGGAGCCACCTGGTGACATTTTGATTCATTATTAATGTTGCAAGGCACTCTCGCAATTAGCCTGTTTTGTTTCAATTACAAGTGTATGTATCGGTATATGTCTATTCTTGAGTCCTTATTAGGTTCCCCAAAGTGATCACTAGTCTTCCCGAGTTCGAAAGTTAACACAGCGAAGACATACAAAGATTAAAATTAGTCTATATAATAAAAAGTAAAAACACAAAACATACAATAGTCAACAAATACTATGAAAGCAAGCAAACAATCAGACCAAAAAAAAAAAAAATCCCAAAAGGATATAATTACAGGTGCTTAACCTGATAACATAATAAGCAGTCCACTGTGGTATGTCCCTGAAAGGGTTAAATAATAAATCCAATTCCATGACAGCCAACTGAATCATATAGAACTGATTCATCTGTGTTTTAATAACTTTTTAAAAGATGATTTGCTGCTGGTGTTTCAAACATTACATGGGAGTATATTCCAAGCCGGGGAAGCTCGATAATGAATACTTCTCATCATAATTTATTTTATTTATTTCTTTAGGGGGGGTGGGGGTTAGGCACTATCACGTGACCCATGCTCACTGGACGAATGTACTGTCCATGGCAAAAATCTAAAAGTTCTGTCTGTTCCTGACAAAAAAATATGGCGTACCTTTCCATGTGACGTCACACCTAAACATCAGTTGACAATATTATTTGTTAGCGTGTGTACTTTTGGCCCAAAACTTAAAATATTTCCTGTTTTTGTCTCAATCAAGCGGCGTGTTTTCTCAATCACTTAGCCACGATCTGTCTGCTCAAGAACCACCTGTTCCTGTCTTTTGTCTGTTTCTGACATGTTTTCTTTTTTTCCCCCATCCCCCGCTCTTATCCCCCCCCCCCTTCACCCCCTTCTTAGGAAACTGCAAGCTCGGTGTACCTAGTGATGGAGGTAAGCCTGCCGCGGCCTTTGGCCTTTGTTTGCTCATTGCTGTGCCATGTCAGCATTTGAGCTAAAATTAGGCCAGTCCTCAGGCACCAAGGGTGGGGGCAGCACTCGTCCCACACGCTGCCGTCTGCTGCACAATCCAGCTGATTGTGCTTGTATGTTTATCTCGTACGTGGACGCAGAATTGGCTGCGCTGAAAGAATGCTATCATTAGAGGAAGGCTCATTAAGAACACCCACATAAATAGATAATCAGTTTATAATTGCGGTGCTTTTATGACCCGAAGTCTTGATTGTGTAGCTCTTTGTAAACCCTGTTGTCTTGTTTGTATAATTTTGTCTTTCACGCCCAAATCAAATTGCCCACTTCCAGTGACGAGGGGACAGCTGATGCTAACATTTCAGGCTATTTTGGTGTCGTAAGAAGTGATTTGGAGGAGACAATTTCCTGTGTTCATTCATATTAATCCCGCAAATAGGAGCAAGGCCGTGCATCAGGAATTGCAATTTCCTCCTCAGCACATCAATATCTTGATCCGCTGATGCTCTTTTGTAGCTTCAGAGACACTTACTCACCATGGTTACACTTCGCCGACAAGTACAATCCCATTAGCTCATCACTGTACAGTTTACATACAACAAAAGACTTTTGTTTTTTTAGGCTAATACCAAATTGAATTGAACTCGCCCGCTCGGGGGGGTGGCGCCCGTTTCTCCTAATTCTGTTTCTTCTCCTCACTTTGCAGTATTGTAACGGCGGTGACCTGGCCGACTACCTGCACGGTAAGTGAAGCATTTCAAAGGCCGACCGACGCGACTGACAAGAGCGAATGCCCAACGGCTGTCGGTGTTGTTTAACATTTCCCCCTTCACAGCAAAAGGCACGCTGAGCGAGGACACGATTCGAGTTTTCCTGCAGCAGATAGCGGGTGCCATGCGGGTCCTGCAGGCGAAAGGCATCATCCATCGGGACCTCAAACCCCAGAACATTCTGCTCTCCTACCCACCCGGACGGAAATCCCACTCCACCAACACCTGCATCAAAATTGGTAGGCAAAGTGAACTTTTACTGGGCTCGCAATAGATGTTTATTGAATGTTGCATGCCTCACATTGTGAAGATTTTGACCACAACCAGAAAGACTCGCCAATCCTGAGCAACTCACTCATCTGTTTCTCATCACTTTAAACTCTTCCCGCAGCCGACTTTGGTTTTGCCAGGTACCTTCAGAACAACATGATGGCAGCAACTCTCTGCGGGTCACCGATGTACATGGTAAATGAGGACACATGCACATCATCAAGGTTTTCAAAAAGCAAGCAGTCCCCATAAAAATATTCGTCTCAAAACAACCCTCCCCTCTTCTATTCCCTCGCAAGGCACCCGAGGTCATTATGTCCCAAAACTACGACGCCAAGGCTGACTTGTGGAGCATCGGGACCATCGTGTTCCAGTGCCTAACTGGCAAGGCTCCTTTCCAGGTACACACAAGGCCGATGTGGTAAAACTGTACACCATCATTCTCGGCTTGGGGCAAAATAACTGAAGCGCATGTACTCTAAAATCATAAGCGTGCCAAAAAGCGGATTGAATCGAGAGCAAATATTGGACTTCACCAGGGCGCATGTGCTGGACTCCTGCTGCATGTTCATTGTTGGTAACTGCAGCTCATTTTTGCAAGCGTGTTTGACATGTCGAATTTGAAGGTAATGAAATGTCAGTTCAACAAATGGTAAAATACGCTCAGTGCTGTTTAATTGGTCTATTGACAATTATATCAAACATTTTCCTGGAACTGCTCCCATAGCAAAGTTGTTGTGTCTCATAGTTGATTTTTTTTTTCCCTCTTTGTCTCTGTTTTCACCTCTCTGACAACCGCGCTGAAATGTATTGCCGAGGTTTACAATGGGGAGAGTCGCGCTGACACGAAATTGTCTTTCTGTCACCTTTAGGCCAGCAGTCCCCAGGATCTTAGGATGTTTTACGAGAAAAACAAGAATCTCAGCCCCAAGTAAGTAGTTGCAATGAGATAACCACATTATTCTTGTCAATTCTTTGCATGTAATAAAAGTTGTGTTGGAAACAGGTTTGGGATAAATGGGGTTAGAGTTTTGAGGCAAGACGACAATACCTGCAGATTTAAGTGCATCTGTTGGCATGTTGACATTATTTGTCAAGATCAGTCCCTTCGGTTCCTCCACACCACAGTGATGATCATGTTGTCATTTTGCAGCATTCCCAGAGAGACTTCCAGCCATTTGAGGCATCTGTTACGGGGCCTGCTCCAGCGCAATCACAAGGACCGCATGGACTTTGGTGAGTGGGAGTCTTGACGCAAAACTGCACGTAGAAGGGTGACATACTGGAGGTACGGCAACAGTCATGGAATTGTTGCGCGATCAATCTGTATGGCTTTTTGATAAGTGTGGAATTCAGTCCCCTATTCAATCGGTTTGCATTGAAATCAATGGTGGCACGATGGATTTCGCTACTTGGCAGCGTATAGCAAAGGCCCCTTTTTAATTCGGGCGCAATTAGCTTGCTGACTTTATGAACCGGCTGCCTAGAAATTAAATGAGAACAGGAAAATGGCAAATTTGGTGAGCAACCATAACACTAGCCAACAGTAAATTTTGGATCCCTGTGTCCTAAATGTATTTAAATTTAATATGTCTACTTTTTTTCCGAGTACATCGGGTTTTTGAGATATTTTCATTGTTTTTAGGTGTGATCTATCAAAGCTTGCACAATACAGATTTTGCAGTGCATTATAATTTACAGCTGTGATGTTTCCGAAAAAATATAAATCCACATATACAATGCCGCGAAAAAGTATTTGCCTCCTTCCTGGCTTCTGTCTTCTTTGCATAGTAGTGTTAATATCTGTAGACGAAAAATATCTGAAGATGGCAGCTTTTCCATGCACCATCGAGAATCAGTTGACTGGGACTGGATTTCAGTGCAGTGGGGTTTAGCTCTGAGCCTCAGGCTTTGTTTGCCTTTGTGTTCCACCTTTCCATTTTTTTTTCCGGCTCTTATTTAAACAGGGAAGTTAATAGGACTTTATTGATCGTTTGCGGGGAAACGGCATTCTCTCCTAAGTCACCTTGCACATCCAGAGCTGGTTCAAGACAAAATCCTACAAAATACTACGACATAAAGTACAAAATGAATCTGATAACCTGTGCTTTCTACAGATGAGTTTTTTTCTCATCCCTTCTTGGAGGCCACCAGCTCATCCATAAAAAAGAGTAAGTTCCAATTTTTGCCGAACGTGGTGCTGTCAATGTTTGGATAATGAAATACGTGCTCGATGAAAGCTGTGTTCAAATACAAAAATATTGTATGCCATTTCACGCACTTGTTTTCCTTGCAGCAACTCCCCCAGCAGTGACCATGACCTGCTTCCCAAGTTCCGCTTCAGCCAGCTCTTGCAGCAGTTCTTCCACCTCGCACCTGGCCTCTCCACCGGTCTGTGTTTAGCATATCTTCAATGTATATGTATGCCCCTTCCCCTCCCCCCGTGTGTAAATGATTAACCAAAGGTCTTTGTGACCCCAAGAGGCCACCCCAGTGCATACCTAATTAATCACCCCTCTCATTTGCACTTTGTCACCTGCCTCCGCAGCAATCTCTTGGTGATGCGCAGCATTTACGTGCCAAAGCGCTGGCCTCCCCCACCCAAGAGGCCGCCGGGTTTCTCCTCAAGGATTCATCCGGAGGAGGCGGCAGCAGCAAGAACTCCTCCTCCTGTGACACGGACGACTTTGTCATTGTGCCCGCTCACTTCAATGGTAAGCGAGAGCAAGAGACTTGTTTTTCTTTTCAATGATTCCCCCAAGCGGTAGAATTGTCCCAATAATATATAAGTCCAATATAAAAGGTCATAAATGTATAAGATATGTGGTTATCTGCTGCAGCGGGTGAGCTGACGAGTGAGAGTAAAGTGCTGCAGGACAGTCTCATGAACAGCGGGTAAGAAAAAGCTCAGTACTTGTCTTGATAGACAACAGCAACATTGAAGTGAAATGCTTGCAAAATATGGGTGTCTTTTATGCCAAGTAAATACTTTTCTTCTCATTTCCTCTGTTAAGCTCCCTCCTGACATCTGGTTTATGCGTCCAAGCCAAATCGCCACCACACTCGCCCTCCTACAGTGGCTCCCCCAGTCGTATCAGGTAACGGCACAGAGCTGGAGTGTCCTGAGTAAATTCATTTAATTATTTAGCACCCAGTTAAACTTTGCACATTAGCATGCAAAATCATCCTGAAAAATCCCAAGAAGAGAAATTGACAATATTCACTCTATTAACCCTTTGAGGGACGGCGGTTACTACAGTGGACAGCTTATCATGTTATCAGGTTACAGAGTGCATGAAAGGGTTAAATACAATGTCCTGTTGCTTATGGAATATGGTCCTAGTATGTGTACAACACAGACAAAGGATTGATAATAGTCATTTTTGTTATTCTTCTTTTTTTTTTTTGCGCGAACATCCAAATGTTTTGGTTGTACTTCAAATCTCAATAAGATCCAGTTGGTATCTCGTCCAACTGCTGATGGTGATACTTAGGCTGCGCGGGTTCAGTCCCCACTTACAAGACAGTTCAGTGTGAAAGGCTGATTTTGTGACGGCGAGTCAAGGGTGTACTGCGCATCTTGCCCGAGGTCAGCTTGGGTAGTCTCCAGTTTCCCGTGATCCTGAACTGGATAAACAGTATAAAAAATGGATGGCATGTTTTTATGAGTCCGCGACATATCCTGGTGTGATGCAATGTAGTCGTCAACAACCATGCAGTGATAGTTGTGTTTTCTTGTTGTCACGTATGCACACAAAATCCGATCTAATGATTCTTCGGGGGCATTCTTTTTCTGTTCCTGGCAGGCCCAATGAGTCCTCGGGGAGTAACTATGCTGGCCCCGGTGGAAATCACGGTCACTCCTTGCCAATCCCAGTTCCCACTCAGGTGCACAACTACCAGCGCTTGGAGCAGCATATTTATACCGCCAAACAGGAAGGCTCGCCCCGGTGTGTGTCTACTCGCTTGCATGTTGTACAAACACCTGAATTTGTTTGTCGCTATCGACAAGTTTTCACTTCAATCAACACACATCATTAGGCTGTCCACTCCGGTGCACCGTTGCAGCAGTGGAAGTCCGCTGGGCTTTGCGAGGACCGGGCCTTCTCCACCTTACGGAACAGTGACCGCCACCCGAAGGCTCTCACTGGGAGGGGCAAGACCCTTTCAGCTCTCCCCTCAAGGTAGCTAAGAGGCTATTATGCTCTTACAGACGCCCTTCCTTCACCGAAACTACTCCCTGAATGGATGATTATTGCATGATTTATTACCTTCTGAGAGGCACCTGCTTGTCTTTTTTAGGGTCTAATTGCAGATAAGTGTTCTCTGCCTGATTTATTTTTTATTGCTAATGAGGTACTTATTCAAAGATGTTTTTTTTCCGTTGCTATAAAAGAGCTATGAAATGTCTCATGAGGAAAAAAAAACATCATAAAGCGATATTAAAAACATCAATTTAAGATAATTGAGAATCTCGGCTGGGTGGGTCACCCTGTAGCACCCCTGACTTCGGTTAGTGATGACTGGGTATCAAATCCTGGTCAGGGCAAAGGGTAGCACCCAGTTGGGTCCTCGGCAAGACCCTTTACTTTTAGTATGTCAGCATTCACTGCAGACCAAGGTACGAGTTCCATGTTGTAGTTGTGCCGGTGTTTTCACATTTCGACTCATTGTACGATGAAATCGGCAAGTACGAGCAGTTTCCCCCTCTTCCTCCCAGTTGTCACCTGCCACGCGACGTCGACACGCTTTCCAAACAGAAATTATAGATGTGTTCTATTTGTCCTGAATGATATTTTGGTGCTCTACTGTCAACCGTCCATTCTTAGAAATCCTCTGACCTTCTTCACCACCCATTGCAGCAGCTCAGCATGCTGAATCCAGGCCGACGACTCAGAAACACTCCCCAGTGGCCACAGGATTGGGGACACGCCTCCACAGCGCCCCCTGTCTTTTAGAGTGTACCACTGGCGGTGGCAGACAGAAGATCCGAAAGCAGCACTCAGACCCGGTGGTGGTCCCCACAGCAGGCTTGATGACGGTTCGCCCCCTGCACTCGTCCCCCCGCCTCAGTGAGCTGATGCAGCGAAGCCCACTGCCCACCATCCTGGGCTCCCCCTCGAGGGTGAGTCTTTTTTTTTTTTTTGGGGGCTCAATGTACTATTTATTTACGGCATAGGAATAGTAACTGTTTCAACAAAGCCCCGTCGTGGCTCCGTTGTTTCTTCTGTTTGCAGACTATGCCCCCGTTTGAATTCCCCAAACCCCCCAGCTCTCCAAACCTTGTCAACTTCCTGACACAGCAGGGTTTAGTGGTGGGCTCTCCCAGCAGCAGGCCTATGCAAATCGAGCCCCGAGACGCTGGACAGCCAACGCCCACGCAGTGCCCTCAGCCTTCTCACTGCATCCACAGGATGAATGATGATACCAGGGGATTTGGAAGGTGAGAGCTGCAATGGCACTTGGTGCAAGTAATTATGAGAGCATGTTTTTGAGGAAAAAGAGCAAGATGCCAAAGAAGTTATGTGCCAAAAACAAACTGTCCAACCAGTGATATGCGCATTGGCATGCATTCATATGGAGGGGTGTTATTGTTTTGTTGTGCTATTCGTTTCTTCTGGTGTGACAATTCAGAGTGTTCACATAAAACGGGCAAGGCAATTATGTAACACCTTTGTCCTTCGTCACAAAAAAATATTTTATGACTACCGGTATCTTAATTTTTTTTCCTACGCTGGCAGACCAGACAAACTTTGAACTTGAGCTGTACTTAACAGTCCTGATATGAAACGTCAACAAATGTACTTTCAGGAATCAAATCTAAAAGCTTGAGTGTTGTGTTGTACAGATCTCAGAGCGCCGGCCTCCTGTCCGACATGTTGCTGATGGCAGCCTTTGGAACAGTGAGTGACCGAGGCAGCACAGAGAATCTGGCCTGTGAAAAAGCTATGGACATAGCAGGTATGTCTTTCGTGGCCCTTAATTCCTTTTTCATTTTTTGCTCTTCGTTCTGGGGTCACCCCAATAATACTTAAAAATTCTGGTTTTAGTGCCCTCCGGTGGTGTCCTATGTCCGGCACCGGGCTCGTGCAGCCCAGCACAGGTGGTCTTCACCATCGGCTCGCCTCCCAGTGGCGGCACCCCACCTCAGGCCTCCAGACAGAGGAAATACTCCGGTAACGCCAACTTGTAAACCTGTTAAATGAACGCGAATGACACATGACTCCTCTCTGTAGCTTTAAGACTTGATCATGTTGCAGCGCAGTTTCAAGGGCACTTTGATGCCAGTTTCAGTCGACAGCAGGGGGCGAGGCTGCATAAAATGTCAAGGCTCTAAACAGTATTCCATGTACTCAATATTAATCGGCATACTATGTTTACACGAGTGGGGCCATTATTGCAGCGCGGGTTCCTCTTTAAGCATTTTTTGCACGCATGAAAATAGAGGGCAGGGGTCTTAATAGCATCTGACACGCTTTCTCCAAAATACTTCACTGATCCAGAATTCCACATATGAATACAGTATATGTCACAGCTTTGGGTAAAACACAGCAGCATCCATTGATATTAGTTTGAATATTGTCAATTGATGCATTTTCGCGACTATGCCCGATTTTTCAAGTGGTCTATGTTCTTGGCAAGTAGCGTTTCAAACTCTTATCTCTGTGTCTTCCCTCTGCAGGCTCCTTTGCATCAGTCAGCCCTGCGGGCTCCTTCACCAGCCGCTATCCCCAGGCGGCCACCTACGGCGACGGCTTTGAGGCCTCTTCCAGCCCTCGTTACAATTTTTTTGATCCCATCACCGCCAACATGGGCGGTCGTATCACCTTCGAGGCCCCTGAGCTTCCTGAAGAGACCCTGATGGAGGTGAGATAAAGGCTTTCTTAGACAAGTCACAAAAGGTGGCAGAAAAGAGGAGTCTGCTCTTAGTACTGGTGCAGCGACAGATCAGTTCCAACCAAAAAGTGGAGAGACTAAGAGGAACAGCTGAAGGAGTTACTGAATGATAAGAGTGAACTTGATGCTGTGGTCAGCCCACAAAGTGCTAAAATGGCACCGCGTGTCCTCAGTTTAAAGCGCTCACCCCCTTTTGTCCTCCTGTGTGTGTGTGTGCGTGTGCCGTCTTTGTGGGAGTTCAGCAGGAGCACACAGACACCGTGCAGAGCCTGCGCTTCACGCTGGATTTCGCTTGCTGTCTGATGGAGGTGGCCGGGGCCCGCGGCATCACATTGATGGGGGTCCCGGTTGATCCCGCTCACCCTCACTCCTTGCAGCAGCAGAGCCTGGTGGCGGATCAGATAAGCTCCCTGAGCCGAGAGTGGACGTAAGGCCACATCATCCGTGCTACTTACCTCTTTTGTTGGAGGCAAAACCGTTTTTCTGGTGTCGGCTTGGTGCCTATTTATAGCAAGCGGTTTGCTGCCGAGGCATACGCAATTCTAGTCATGACTCAATGACAAGGTTGACGCACTGGACCACGATACATTTTTTTTCTTTTGCAGTCAAATTGTGTCTGAATGACCTATTAGTCATTTTCCAATGGAACTTCTCAAGTCAAATGTATGCAAGGGCACACAAGCGCACCTCAATACATTTCAATATGCTCGAAAACTGACTTGATTTCAGCAGGTCTTACAGATTCACTAAACACATAATTGTGAGATATTTTCTGATTAAGTTTCTTATATTTTGGATGGATGTATAGCTTGCGGCCAAGGAAAACCCCAAATTCACCATTTCAAAAAATTACAATTCAAGTCGACATCAGGAACTATCAAAAACGCTTCTGTGAATAAAAATTAGGAAAGAATAGGCCTCCTAAAAAGTATTTTCCCTTTTTGAATTTATGTTTCGCTTTTGGAAATCGCTTGTGCAGTGAATGAACATTTGTATGACATGCTAATTCATAAGGATGCATCTGTATGAATGCATTGAATTCCTTTCTGCTTGCTTTTTGCACTACGGCAATGCCAAGAATAAATTGACAGATTAAAAATAATAATAATAATAATAATAATGAAAATGAATTGACGGCACTGTAGTATGAAAACAAGACGGAAATTCTAGCAAACCTGAATGAATCGGTTGTGTTCACGGAAATTTGACTATATGATCAAAAGTGAATGCATGTTTAATTTTCCCACTCATATTCATGTTCACCTTTTGTAATGTTATTGTCTCACCAGCCACGCAGAACAGCTGGTTCTGTACCTCAAGACTGCAGAACTCTTGTCTACCGCCATACAAACAGCCATGGAGCAAGTGAAACACGGCAAACTTTACCCGTCGGCTACAGTCAAGCAAGGTAACGCGGCATTCGGTATAGGAAAGACCTCCAATGTGATTATTGGCCCAAACGATCACCGCCTGAATGAAATGGTCTTCCATTCCTAGTTGTGAGGAGGCTGAATGACTTGTACAAATCCAGCGTGGCATCGTGTCGCTCTCTCAGCACCCGTCTGGAGCGCTTCTTTTCCAAAAAGCACCGACTCATGGACAAAATCACCTCCATAACAGCTGAAAGGCTGCTCTTCAGCCACACCGTGCAGATGGTAAGCCAGAAAAAGGAACGCCGTTTCTGCCAAATTGATCATTGTTGCCGTTTCATTTGTTTTCATTGTGAAAAGTTGTAAAGGCGCAACAAAATAAAGGGAGCGTACCATACCAGGTTTGGGCGCAGCTATTTATTTACGCTTTTCCAGTTGCGTGCCAAGTTGAAATGACTGCTCGTCGCTGAGCAGTGTCACCGTAACTTTTGAGGCATCAGTCCTTAACTCATTCACTCCCAAAGACGTTTTTAAACGTCTTTTCAGACTTGGTCCAGAATTGGCTGATATTGAATGAGTTAATATGACTCCACTGAATCCACTTTTGCGTTCCCTGTACTGCACCTTGCACATATGACAAAATCCGAATGAAGTGAAGCGATTGAGAACTAGAAAATGGTTGGACGATGGATAAAAACATGCAGGAAATTCTTTGTAGGTTCAGTCTGCTGCTCTGGATGAGATGTTCCACCAGGGGGAGGCATCCGTCCATCGTTACCACAAAGCCCTCCTGCTGATGGAGGGCCTCTCTCTGCTTCTCACCGAACAGGAAGACATTCTCAGCGTGAGCAAATGTAAGTCAAGAGACCAATCCCAAATTGTTACCCAGTACCTTCATCCCAGTTCACTGTCGTCCATCATCTCTCTCCTCTCTGCGTACAGGTAAAGAGTGTATTGAGCGGCGCCTCACAGCCTTGCAGTCCGGGCTCTGCGTTTGAGAGCCCCTCCTACATGATGTCACCTATCGGCTCATTACCAACGGACTTCATCCCATCACCTCAGGTCACGTCAAAAATCACAAACTCTCTTAAAGTTGACAACCTAAGCTTTGGATTACGGCCTCCATTTCCCTAAAGCGAAACTGATGTTGGTCGTGATGCACCTTGCTGCATTCTGACTCACGTGAGAGACCGTTTGGCCAATTAAGATTCCCCGCCAGCCCACCCCCATTTGAGGCAACCTGCAGGAGCACGTACGGCCAAGTAGTCATATATCCCCGCGCGCAGTACTCGCCATGACATATTTTGAAGACGGACCAGTCTACTGCAGTGGACAACCGAACAAGCCTTTGTGGTTCATCTTTATGGAGGTACTTTGAGCTGTCCGCCTACATTGGAGGTACAGTTACAGTAGACATGTTGAAGAAAGCTGGAGGAAGTCAAATATCATTCTCATATTATCTATGTGCACATTATGCCACTTCCTCGTGTGTGTGTGTGTTTCAAAGCAGTTCATGAGTTGCTTGCTATAGTGTACATAACATTGCTACAACTGGACGACAACTTCTGCCAAGACGATATAAAGCCTTTTTATAATGCGTTTGATTTTAGCTCTATAATAAGTAAGTAAGTTGGTTTGACACTTTACGGACTTGCTTTTCATAAGGAAGGCGACAACTGGTGGAGAACAATGTTTTCCAACATTGCGTCATGTGGGTCCAAACAGGTGGAAGAGGCACGCTTCGCAGTTTCTGATTAGAACTGCGCTAACGATGCCACGCTAACTGGAGGATGTTTGTCTTGTGTACAGTCCTTGACCACCACCCCCACCCCGCCCCACCCCACGTGGTTCCTTCTTTCTTCTTTACATCATTGTATTTTAATCAATCATCGTCGGCGCCAATGCGAATGTATAGGACAGGAGAGAAGCCGCGTCAATGTTGGGGGCTGCTTGGCGGCACATGCCCGAATGTTTTTTTGCACTGTTGAAGTACTGTACAGAGTGGAACATGCTACACGTGTCACGTATTGTTTTGTTTGTTTGGATATACTTTGACTGATAGCTCCTTTCTATTTCCACTTCCTTTTCATGGAGTGCAGTTGTATCGTAGTTACTGTGTGTTTGGTGTGAGAGTGTTCATTAACAGAGGGATGCTGTGAACGCGGAAAAGAAAAATACGGTAAAAGCTTTATGGTGAGGAGGGTTAGGTTTAAAAAAAAAATAGAAATACATATATATTGTGTTCTGCTTGAGAGTAGTCAGTAGGTGACGATTCTGTCATGATTTTGAAATGTTTAATTTGGAGTGCTGGTGTTTTTCCTCTGATTCTTTTTTTTTTTTTTTTAATTGAAACATAATTCTGAATCCCAAACCGATTCCTTTAATAATTCTCAGTTGTGAGCCGCAGATGGTCGATGTCTGTGTTGCCTGCATTCAAGCATTCAAAGGTGTACAGTGTTATGTGCATGTTCGCATGTGTGAAGAGGCTAGTTCGCAATTTGACTGATGGCTGTGGAGAGAAAGGGATTCGTTATGACCTAGACACAGTCTCACGTCTGCTTTTGAAATGGAAAGATCCACTGACAAGGGATTCCTCCGTGTGCAAATGAGGAGGGACACCCCCCCCCAAAAAGAAATCTGAGAATGAAACTGGAATTGCAATCAAGTGTAATATTAGAAAAAAACCATAGAGCATTACAGTTTTTTTCCACAAAACATGACAACTTATTGTTACTTTTTCCTCATAATATCAAAAAATATTTGTTCTAACTTTCTGACTTATTTATCCTAACATTCCTACTTTATTCTGAATTCTTATTGAATAATGCCCCCACCAAGCCCCCACCCACCCAGTGTGGCCACGATGCTCATTCATAACTCTATACTGTTTTTTCCTCGTCTTAAGTTCACGTTCATGTTTGAAAAAGCTAAAGATAGTTTACAAAGAGATCCAGTATAGTAGCAATGTTAGTAGAGCAGAATGAAAGAGCCCCCACCCCCCCTTTAAATATACTTAATTTGCTTTGAGGCATTTTAATCTCAAATATACATTTTTTTTATGGTTGAGTTGTACATTCCTAATATCGACTCATCCTGGCTTTTGTCCTACTCACTCACTGTACAATGGCTAGCACCTGTGATGCATGTATCTTTTTTTTTTTTTTTTTTTCTTAGACTTAAAAATGGTTGTTTCTTGAAATATCTGTGGATTTGTCAAAGTAAAAGTCAAAATTGTTGTCATTTGTTTTGGAGGTGATGTTATCGGTATTACGACTGCCCCTACAATCATTGCTACTGGCCATCCCAATTATCAATTTGGGTCACCATGAAAATAATGTGTGCGTGCATTGAGATAACTTTGGGGTGGGGTCGGGAGGGCATGTATTGTGTTCTGCTGTAATGTCCTTGAGCAGGATGTTGACTCGCTGCCATTTTCGTGGTTGCTGTTCCGAGCATTCCCATGAAGCTAAAATGAAGTGCAACCATCGCGAAAGTTCACAATCTCCTGTAAGGAGTCAAGAGTTTTAAATCTGTGTGTAAAAACATGCCCGAATGTCATCATTTATTTGTGTTTAGCATCACCTCTAGGAATTGTAAATTAAGTTATTGTTGTCATTGTATTTATGACTCTGCGGGTGCAGAGGGAAGATTACCCTACCATTTAATAATGTTTGTTGTTTTTTTTCCAAAGAAAAGGCTTTCTGCTGAACTACCAGCAAGCCATTTTCACATTGTCATGTATGGCAAGACACTATCTCAATGTCCCTGTGTGTAACATAACCCTTACTGTTAGTTGCAACATGAATAAAGTTAAAGGAATGGAGTTGTAGTGATGCTGTTTTTTTTTCCTGTTCAAACTTTGTTTTCCCCACATCACTCTCTTATGCATTTTAAAAGTAGCACAGACAGACTAGGCTTCTTGTTTAAGTTACTGTGAAGTCCTAAAACCCAATTTTTACACCCCTACATGCTGATATGTCAATATTATTAATGCGATGTGAATTAATTTAGCACAGCATCCATTAATTGGATGGCCGTTTTTAAATTATAAATGCAGAATTACTTTGTTATTTCAGTTTTTTTAGTGGGGGCGGGCGCGGGGCTCAAGGATTCTGTACAGTACTTCCATTTGTAATACTGTAGTGATATATACAGTACACCTGTAATATTTCTGTTTGTCCCACACTTTTGCTCCGCCCCCCAACATAATGCACCAATCAGAATGATCTATTGACATGTTTCGCCTCATTTGATTGGTGCTTGCATCTGTCAAGAGTTCCGACTCGAGGTTACGTGACGGCTATGAGGCGTAATGTCACTAAAGTCGGAATTGTAGCTAGTTTATCGAATTATAACGAGTAAAGTCGGACATGATCATCAACTGTTGTTTTCAATTTCCACAATTTATGATTCAACAGTATAACTCATCCTATTTTTAATTACTCGTCTCAATTCTGAGTAAGAAAAGCAAAATCAAGTGTCACTAAGTAATTACTGTCCGGCATATCCCTTATGGACGAGTTGTTGTCGTGTTTCTATGTATAAAATGTGGGGCACTCTTTCGTATTTAATGTTTGTGTCGTGAACCGCACGTTTGTTCTTTGTTACGAGAGCAAGGGGAGTCGTCGTTAATCCGAGACAACTGGACTGCATCGAAAAAAAAAAAGTTGGGCTGTCGCCATAGTAACTGGCGTACGACCAGTGGGGCAGTATCAATTGTCGGATTGCTTGGAGTATTAAAGCTTTTGCTATACATTGCTTTGCTGAAGAACACGGACTGTAACTGCATGTTTTTTAATTTTTTTTAAATTATTATTACAATGGTATCACGGAAAATATTGCTGCTACTTTGACCAAGTTGTCGTTCACTTGCTCGAGGAAAGGGCAAAACGAAGCGAAGCTAGCTGGATGAAGCACGGCTATGTCCAGCAAAAACCTCCCGCCGGTACGCCACCTGCCACAGTGGAGCCGAGTCGGGCGTCTCGGAGTGCCGTGCTCGCCTCGACGTTTACAGGCGAACCGCCTGCAGCCGCTGCCTGTCCTCCCCGCGGGGGACCGAGGGGGCCAGAGGGCGAAGACGGGCTCGGTTCCTGTCGACGCTGACGCCCGCGTCGCATCACTGCAGAGGAACATCGAGTTTCTGCAATACCAACACCAAGAAACGCTGCACAAACTTCACCAAGAAGTGGATATTCTCAGAAGGGAGAATAAAGGTGACCAATTATCCAATTTGAGTAAATCATTTTACTCCTTTATAATCAAATTGGGGAAACACATAAAGTAGATTTTTCATGTATCTGTGCTTTGTGTTTCTTTTTTTAATTTCGTTTGATTTCATACATTTGAAAACAAATGCTACTCTCTACTCTGATTCTGTCGTGCAGAGCAGCATTTTTTTTTTGCCTCACTCACCTTCTCTGCAACATGCGTGGCAACAATGAGGCACTCTGCATTGGCAACGCAAGGTCAAAGTCCCAGTCCACACGCAGCCTGTGGCTGTCAAATGTCTCAGTTAAAAAGTAAATCGATCAAACCTCACTATCCTGTTTTTCTCTGCGTGAAGTTTGCACACTCTCCGGCTACAATGAGGCACTCTAAAGCGGCCATGGCAGAACACGAAGGGAAGATTATTATTTTATTTTTTTACACTACTTCTGCCAATTCTGCTTTCTCCAAATTTGTTGTGTATTACAGTGACAGTAAAGGCTTTTGGATTTTGATAATATGGAAAGAACTACAAACATGGTATGTTAGTCGCATAGCAACGCCATGGTTTCAATTGAGTTAAGTGAAAGGTTAGTGCGTGATGTTCTCTGTTGGAGGTCGACATCTGACTGGTGTCATTTATACTAACCCGGTGTCTTGTTTCTCCATAATGAACCCCGACCTCTTATTTTGTCTGTTGCAGAGTTGAAGTATAAGATGATTATGGAGTCTCCAAAGCCAAGTAGGAAAGGTAAGATGAAGATTCACACAGCAAATGCAAACATGGAAACGTAATGACAATGCACATTGTAATAATTTGTCTTCATTTTAAAGGGAGCATATTATGGAAAAGTGCCTTTTTAAAAAATTGTAGAAATGATTGGCTCGCTAGAGGACCTGGCCAACTATCAAGTGTGAAATCAAGCACCCAAGTAAATCTCTTTGTGATATGCCTACACTGTGTTCTTCTAGTTCTGAAACATAGCCAAGTGGGTGTTGGACCTGTCGTTCGGGGGAGAGAACCCACACAGAACCAAATGCTAAGGTGAATATCTGGTTTAAATGGTTTAAAATGAGAACAACTTGACAGATGGCGCCACAGAAGGCAATTGTCTGCATTTTTATTTATTTTTTGTTATCCAATAAATGTATGTGAAGTAACGTGAGAATGTTATATCTGGCGTAGAAGCATGGGAGACTGTGTTGACATTCATGGACCCTACAGAGCAAATCGAAGGTCGGGGCAGTTAGCCACCTCGCTGCAGCCTCTCCACATCCACAACGGTCTGTCTCACCCACCACGTGCGTCCACGTTGAGGGAATGCGAGCTCATCATCCGCCAGCTGTACAATACCAACAGTTTACAGTCTCAGGAAGTGAGGGGTCACAGTCCAAAGTGTTTGCCACCCATATGCGTGTCTCAACTCACACGCCGACATTTGTGTCTTCTAGATTGTGCGCTACAAGGAATTGCTGAGAGATATTGTGCTCCACAAGAGGATCACCCCAGAAAACTACAATCTGACCAAAGCCTACCTTGTGGATGATATCTGGTGAAGCACTCGAGAACATTGTTGTGTTCTTCCTAACATGGAAATGACAAGCATTGTTTTTATTTTAAGTATCTTTTTTGTTTTGTTTTGTTTTCAGCAAATCCTCTGACAACACGTTTCCTAATCTGGACCTGCAAACAGGAAAAACGTATGTCATTGTGTCTCCCTCACTGTGTGTCACGTTTGACGAAAAAAATGAGTGGACAATTTATTAGTCACAGCACACATTGCGTGCGGTTCTGCAATTTTTTTTTTCTATTCACAACCCACTTTGTTTTTCTCTACCGTGTCTTTGTTATTGTCACTTTTTATCTCATGCACTTATTCGCTAGCTAACAGCCAGTCAGAGGGATCAATTGTCACTGACGGTCAACGGCTTATTCGTTTAAATCAGATCTAAGAAGCATAATGACTGGGAAAATATATGACAAAAAGTCTATAAATTTGGTTTGGGCAAAGTAGCCGCGCCAATTGAACTTTTCCTAGAAGTCTGTTCCAGGGACCTCAGACACTTCAGTCCAACGTGATTTATTTTTGTAAATTATTTTTCTTTTACCTAAAAAAAAAAAAAAATAAATGTGAGTCAGATTTCCGAATGCACCTGAAACAGTCTGTGAAGATGACACAACAGATGTTTTCCATGACATAGCATTGACGAATGCTCTTTTTTTTTTTTTCCCTCCCAGGACCGGCGTGACCCTGCCCGCGCTCACGCAGAGCCTCAGCTCCTCCGTGGCGGAGCGCCCGCGAAGGAGTCGTGCTGTGCACAGAGGCCATGTCAAAACGACAGTACGGTGAGAAGATTCAGATTATCATCTCCCAGCACCATCCACTGTCAGGAAAGCAACTGTTGTATTTTTTTTTCTTTTTTTTTTTTTGTGTCCCTGGACATGTAAAGTCACAGATGATGAAATACAATCTGGAAGGTGTTTCCAGTCGCAGACTGATGGAGGTATTTCAGTGTTACGTGTTGGGGATGTCCCAAAGGATTGGTACCGTGAACAAAGTTCTTGGTACGTCACCAAGTGAATGAATTAGGGATCGGGCTGGCCAGATCAGTGCTAGTTTTATACTTTGTTGACACTTAGTTGTCTTTGGATAAACTAACATGAACCCCAGACCTTGGGCCACCCAGACCCAGTGGGTCAATAATGTTCTTCTGGATGAATGGACAAAAAATAAAAATAAAAATCCCAGATCCACTCCAAAATGTTGGAGAACATCTTCCCAGTAGAGTGCAGCCACCTGTGGTCTTTTCTTCCATTTTCACTCCATGTCAGTCGTCCAAATACTGTTGTCTTCAAAGCGCGCTTTCCATTTTCAACACGAGTACCATCCCAAATCTAAAAATTCATTGCAGATGTTGTAAAGCATGTTTTTATTAAAGTTGGTCTTGCTTGATTTTCATACGCTCCTTTTATTTTAGCCGTACTGTACACACTTAAGCTAGCACATGTCAAGGGCTGGCTTTACACTGCACGTCCAAGTACCCAGCACCAAGTTTATGCTCCTATCTTGATTCTTTTTTTTTTTTAACTCTTGTTTCTGTTTGTGCAGACATAGGTGTGGAACCATTAATCGGTGTCTGATATTTATTTGTAAAGACACCTGATTCTGATGAAAGATATTTATGTCTGGGTTTTTTTTTTCACCCCCCCCACGCATCTCCAAATGACGCGCCCCAAAATGGAAATATGTCACTTGAGCCATGCTGTGTAACTCCAGTCGAATAAATTTTTCTATGTCCGTCCAAGCTGTAAGATGTAATTGTGTCAATCAGATTGTTCTGATATTGTCCTTTGGACTTTCTCACCCACGAGGGCTCCCGTTTACCCATCATAGATGAGATACTATCATCTTTTAAGCAGACTTATCAGTTGGATCGCCATTTTGGCCTTTCTCCTTTCTTACGACAAAGCTTTACGAGAGCGGGAAATGACACAAACAAAAGGTGTGATGTCGGTGTTTCCACGAGGAGGTGTTGTTTCTGAAGAACATCCTTTTCGAGAAACCACTTTATTAACTCTCGATAGTGAAATCAATGAAACAAGTCAGGCTTGACCTTTATCCATGGAGGCGTTGTGTGATTCTGTTTTTCTTCTCTTTCACCCAGTTTGTAGCGGCGTCGCGGCCTTCGCATTGGCAGTAGCCAGTCAGCGCAAATCTATTAACATGCACATCGTGTTGCATTGCTGAGAGCTGCTCTGTGGCAGCTGCAGCCACCACCGAAATAATGACTGAAACCTCAAAACCAGAGGAACCGCATTTTCTTTTTGCCTCCCTTCAGCATATTAAATTGCAGATTTGCTTGGATTTCACAGCTTTATGCCCAATTCCCACCAGCTTTTACTTGAATGTAAATTCAACTATGATTATCTTACATGAAGTTGTTGCCTTTTAAATGGGTTCCCCACAGCATAATGTAATGCAGCTAAACCCTGCCTCAGATAGAACTGGAAGAAAACTAGAAATAGCGTGACTGCTGTGCAATAATAATAAATTCAGGTCAGTAGAGTATCAAATATCAGAATCATCTTAATTGGCCAAGTATGCCCCTTAGTACCTGTGAGTAAAGCAGGGGTGGTGCTCCCCTTTCGTCACGTCACTGATGACGAAATGGGGAGTGGCGTGATAAATATTTCCGATATTCGCCACTCCGGCGAAGGGCCAACTCGTCTGTCAAAAATTGCCCCGGCAAAAACATCTAAAGTGATGGCTAAAGTACAAATGTCTGTATGTGCAGGTCATTTGGGGGCCTCGAGCAAAATAGTGCCAAAGGGCCCGTATTTTTGGCGCGCCCTTCAGTCAACAGCGTACTGCGCAACCCATACACCCAAATTTCACATCTTCGTCAAATTTTGCTGCACCGCAGAAGATAATTCAAACTTCTCGTTCTGACTGACTGTCATTACTTAGAGTAGATCGTGCCAAACCATATTCTAAAATGTGAAAACAAAGAAGTTGAGTTATGCCTTTGCTTTTTTTCCCCTCAATTTTAAGCTTGTATGTTGCCTAAGACTATCTGTGCTTAAAATGCATATAATGTCAATATTTGATGTTCCTCAATCAGCGCATGAGGTGCGGTTACCGACAGGTGACCCCTTCCTCAGCTTTTACACGATTCCCTAGGTCTGGGGGCCTGCGTCTTGCGGCTATTTATGGTGAGTGATGCCAATCATGGGGTTTCCATCCAAATGACAACACTCTTTTGGAGGCAATTTAAAAGAGCAGAGTGAGGTGAGTATGTGAGAACAACATACTGTATTTGAGCCACGAAAATATACCAGTAAACCTTAAATGGGTGAAGTTTTGGCCACAAATGAAATAAGTCCCAGTCAGAGACTGAAACCTCAATAACGGAACCACAAAGTAGTGAGGGTATTCTCTTCAACTGAGAGTCGTCCGTCTGCATGTTTTCAGCAATTATCTTCAAATATGTTTAGTGTATTTAGAAACAAATCTCTGAATTCACTTTATATATAGTTAAGTTACCACCGTACTGGATTTAAGGTTTTTTTTGGGTGAGTGAAATACTATAGGTGGGACTTGGGGGGCGGGGGGGGACTTTGAAACGTCACCGCTGTGTCATGCCAGTATGATTGACAGCTCACACCGGCTCCGCTTCGTCACCCGCCCACCCTCTCCGTCCCTCCCTCCCTCCTTGCTTCCTTCCTCTCCTACGCCCTCCTACTCCCACCTCCCCCTCCGGGCGTCAGTGACGTGCACTTCGAGAGCGGGACCTGCCCTCCCGTCGCCATTTTTTCGTCTCGTACTGGCACCCGTCGGCGGCCGCGTCGAGCGCGAAGAGCAGCAAAGTAGTGCAGAAATACGTCCCCGTGGAATACTAGCGACGCGCGCGCCACCACTCCGGTGTCACGTGATGACATGCACGCGCACGAGCCGAGCCGCTGTTGTGAAATCGTCTGTGGTGTGAAGACGACGTGTGGCGGGCCGCCATTTTTCTCCTCCGCCGCCTCCAAAGTCTGCTCCGACTCGAGACGGGGGCTTCGAGTAGGCCTTTCCGCGACGCGTGTACCGAGGAGCTTCTGCTAAGTCATTTTCCCAGCGGCGACGTTCAGCCGACATGAGGAATTATCAGAGGAACAACTGAGGCCACTTCTCCACCCCCCTCCTCCACTTCTCAGAACCGACACTGACCGAAGGAGATAAATTACCAGACGAGAATCTTCCGGTGTCTTCTCGGAAGGAGGAAGCAAAAAGGGAATCTTCATTCATTGTTGCTTTGGTGTTAAAGTTTTTTTTTTGTTTGTTTTTTTGTCTTTCTTGACCGATTCGACCGAGCCTGCTAACTACAATAACCACAGCATGGTCCAAAGTTGGCTCGGACCAGCCTGTTTGTGAGCTCGTCTGGTACGGTAGTTTGCTGCTGGTGGTAAGGGGCAGGGGGGTTTCTCTGAAGAGCGACACCCTCCAAAGGTGGAGGCTCGAACCACCTGCCCTGCAACCTCCCAATTTGCAGTGATTAGTTGTCTTCCTACAGAGCCCAGTTTGTTGCTTTCTCACGTGGAGACTGAATCTAACTTATTTTTAGACAGAGATGTCCACTGCTCGCTTTGACTCATCTGATCGTTCAGCCTGGTATTTTGGACCTGTGTCCCGCCAAGAGGCACAGAATAGGTTACAAGGACAAAGACATGGCATGTTCCTGGTCCGAGACTCGTCCACCTGTCCTGGGGACTACGTGCTGTCGGTTTCTGAGAACTCCAAAGTGTCTCACTATATCATCAACTCTTTGCCCAGCAAGAGGTTTAAGATCGGAGACCAGGAGTTTGAGCACCTGGCCGCCCTCTTGGAGTTCTACAAAATCCACTACCTGGACACGACCACGCTGATCGAACCAGCTCCCAGGTAGGACAGTCACAAAGTACATGCTGCCATGTAAGATTGCCTGCAGATCCATTTTATCTGGGTTGGCTATTTTTATCAGAAGTAACCTACTTTCACTTAGGCTGCAGACTGTTATGTCATGAAGGATCAAGACAGATCTGAAAATGGTGCACATGGCTGCACTACAACTACACATGTGGTGCTCCAAGATGAATGTAAATCCAATAATTTATTGCACATTTTTAACCTGTCACTGTTTTTCATTAAAGCCCGAAATGTTTGTGATCGATTATGCCTCAAAAGGCGTGCAAAAGCTTGCAATTGCCATCACTTTTGTGCCATAAGGATGCTAAGTGGGACCTGAGCGACGATTAGAAAAACCCGGTATCAAAGGGTTAACAAGTGCATGTGGCTTGTTTTCACTATCCTTAACATCCATCAAAATAAACCTTTGAAATGAAGCACGGGTCATTTTTTTGGGCCACATGAGCCAATTGTCACTAACTCATCCTCTCATAACTAGTCGTGGCAAATGAAACGCATTCAAACGTGGAGCAAACCTTACTTCAGAGTACTGCTTTTGCCGACAAGTTCCTGTTTTCGTGTTATCATTATTTTAAATTTCCTCTTTGTCTTACCACTGATAACATTATCCCGAGCCTTACAATTTGAACAATATGTCGCTCCCACCTTGTCAAGTTCTGAGGGTCCAAATCAGCATGAACCAAAAATTGGATCGCAATAAATGGTTTAAGTCTAAGACATGTTTTGAAGTACTTTTGAAAGATGATCCAAATTTTAGTCACAATATGTCGCTGGGAATGAACCTTAATCGTAACCCAAGGACCCCTTGCGCATTGTGGTCGTCAGGTCTGGGCAATATGGCCCAAAATTCATATGGTACACATTAGATCCCTTAACACTAAATACAATACAATACAATACATGCTGATTTATATAGATGGTACATATCGCAATGAAAAAGTTACATGTCAATTACGTGTAAACAATATGACGCAAAAATGATTTTATAAAGACGTGAAACAAACAACTGTAATGTTCCTACTTCATCTCGAAAAACGGTCAGTCAGCAAATGAAAAGTGCCTCCTCCAGCTCAGGATGTGCCGTGCCCCAAAGCCGTTTCCGATCGTCTTTCAATCAGTCGTCCTCAAACTCTGATTTTGTTGCCGTTACGGATGATTGTCGAAATCCTTGACTTTGCCAATTCGTCGTCTCGGCTGAGCTTTGTCTGGGAGACTCCCTTTTTTCTCTCTCCAAAGTGAGAGACAATTTCAGCCTTCGCAGGCAGCGAGATTTGCTTCCGTTGACCAGACATGTTTCCAGAGGATCGCGCCGTGCCTCTGGAAGTACAACAATGTACGGGTCGATCAGTAGCGTGGCTAAGCAACGGCGGGGGATCCCGCGCTGTTCGTTTTGTTCATAAGCAAGGTGGTGGCGGCAGTAAGTTATCACGTTATAACCAAGACACGCATTCTCTTGAGACACGCATTCAGTGTACCTGCAAATTGATTCACAACACTGCATTTTCTCTTAGCTT